TGTTTGTTGTTGTTGGTGTTGTTGGTGTGGATGTTGGTCTTGGTGTTGGCGTTGGTGTTGGTGCTGTTGTCCTTGATGTCGCCGTGGTCGTCGTCCTCGTGGAGGTGGTTGTTGCTTATAAAGGTATTGGCGTTGGTGCTGATGTAGGTGTAGGATGTGGCGTTATGTGTGTTGTTGGTGTTGTTGTTGCTGTTGTTGTTGTTGTTGTTGGTGGTGGTGGTGGTGTTGGTGTTGGCGTTGATGTAGGTGTACATGTTGGTGTTGGTGTTGGTGTTGTTGTTGTTGGCGGTGGTGGTGCTGGTGGTGGTGGTGGTGGCGGCGTGAGTCTCATTCTGGTCACGGCTGTCAGACGATGTTGCAGTTTATGATGATCCAGCGATGCTGCTGCTTCTATGGTGTATGATGCTGACGAAGACAGGTACCGATGAGGGCAGAGAGCATGAATGTTAATATCATGCTGATGATGATGGTGATGATGATGATGATGATGCTACTGATGATGATGATGTTGTTGCTGATGACCGGTTGCTGGGCATGTTGATGATGGTGATGATGATCATGGTAACGGTGATGATGACGTTGTTGTTGCTGATGGTGGCATTGATGGTGGTGATAATGTTGATTGTCATGATGACGTTGATGGTGATGATGATAACCATGATTATGATGGCGATGACGATTGATGGTGATTGATGGTGATGACGATGTTGATGATGATGACAATCTTGATGATGATGATGATGATGATGATGGCGATGACGATTGATGATGATGACGATGTTGATGATGTTGACAATCTTGATGATGATGATGATGATGGTGATGGTGACGATGATGATTATGATGACGACGAGGATGACATTGACAGGGTCCTGACACTGATGGTGCTGATGTCGATGATGGTGGCCCTGGTGATGCATGACGATGTGACGAATGATATCTCGAGCTTTTTTATCGTGGCCATGTGGGCAGGCCAATATGTTACCCTGATCATGCCTGGTATCCGCCTGATGTGGAGATAGTGTGCAGTGTGTTCATGAACTAAGCAGAACTGTGTGCGACTCAGCATATGGGTGTATCGGTTGGAAAGCCTGGCCAAACTACGAAAGGACAAGACACATCAGATGGACATGAGTCGAGCACAACAGGTTTGGCATGTAGGCGAGCATTTCAAAGACCGAGCGCAGATGTGACGTTTGTTTTTTGACTGGCTCTGTGACCTGGGGGCCTTCGACGTGCACTTTAGTAGGGCAGTGCTTTGTAAGCAGCTTACCTTGCCTGTGGTGTCTAAGACTGCTGCCAAGAGCTGCTTTGCACGTGCTCTCCAGTATCAAGGAATCCTCAGCAAGTACCCAGCCATGGTGAAGAAGATGATGATGACAAGATGATTCACGTGCAACCGACCCTGTGGAGGCCATTCACGCCAGGGCACTCGATTCCGATGCTGAGCAGGACCTGGCTTTCTGTGTTCCAGGCACACAGGCGGAGGTTTCATTTTCCCACAGTCACAGACCATTTTGAAACGGACTGTTCAAGCTTCCATCGTAACAAAATTGGAACTTTCCGGAGTCTGCGTCGGATCAACACAACCAGTGCGCACTGCAAGTCTGCAGGTGCTTGAGTGACGGGAAGGACTTATACAATTGGGTGGTGGGGGCTATCGGGCAGCAACCTTGCTGGATTTTCTGTCGCCACAGACTTTGGAAGCACAGGTTAGTAGGGTTTAGGGCCGTTGGTTTAGGGGCAGTTCGTGGACAGGTTTTCTAAACTCATGCTTTTGGGAGGCCAGGGTCGACAGCCGTTGATTTTCCACACACACACACACACACAGCTCAACTTTTCCACGCTTCAACCGGCCGGTTTTTCCGCATCAAAGCGGCTGGTTTTCCACATGAAAGATGCTGGGTTTTTCACACCGAAAGGGCCTGTCTGCCGCACCAAAAGTGCTGCTTTCCGCTTCAATATCATGGCCGCTTTTCCACATGAGAACGGTCGGCGTTCGGCATCAAACGACCGGTTTTCCACACAAAAAACGGCCGATTCTGCGCGCCAACACGAAGCTGCTCTCCACATATACAGGAGTCAGTTATAAGACTCGTTTCTCATGCACAGCAGCCAGAGCTTGAAGATGGCAATAGCAAAACCATGCAGTACTTGGGGGTTCATGGGTGGTTATAAGTGGGGTCATAAGTAGGGTAACTATACTTATAACCCATATTAGGGGACTTATAACCTTATACTTACTAAGTCCCATGATCCTCCAAGTAATTTCATCTGCCACAAAGTTGTGGAACAAGCTTGTGCTGATGCCAGGATGCAGAACAATTGGTGGATAGGCTGTAGAAGAGCTGCTTGCTGATGCGGAAACGGTGTGGAAAAACTTCGTCCGATGCAGAAAGATTTGTGGAGCACTTTGTGGAAAACTTTGTATGGTGCGGAAAGATTTACGGAGAACGTCGTGAAAAAACTTTGTCCGATGCGGAAAGATTTGCGGAAAACGTTGTGGACAAACTTTGCCTGGTGCGGAAACATTTGGCAAAGTTATGGACAAACTTGTTGCTGATGCGGAAAGATGTGCGGACAATCTTGTGCAAAACCATGGAAACCTGTTGACTATAGACTTGTAACCTTATAAATAGAGTAAACAGGTTTCACAGCTGCCAGGCCGCATATTTTCGACAAATCTTTCCGCCTTCGAAACATGTGTTTCCGCAACCTTTCTCGCAAATTTTCCCGCATCAAAGCAAGTTTTTCTACATGGTTTTCTACAGCAACAAAAAGTTTGTCCACAACCTCGTTCGCAAGTCTTTCCGCATAAAAATGATTGTCCACGAATCTTTCCGCATGGGCAAAGGTTTTTCTACAACCTTTTCCGCAGGTCTTTCCTCACAAGAAAAGTTTTCTACAACGCGTTTCGCAAATCTTTCCACAAAAGACAAGTTTGTCCACAACATTTTCCGCAAATCTTTCCACAAAAGAAAAGTTTGTCCACAACATATTCCGCAAATCTTTCCGCACAAGAAAAGTTTGTCCACAACCTTTTCCGCACTTTCGCAATATGATCTCTGTTTAATCCCAAATTTGTGTGGACGAACTTGCTGTTTGACGCCGAATTCTTGTCGAAAGCCGCCGAGATTCGTGTCGAAAAAGTTGGTTGTTTGATGTTAAGTTCCTGTGGGTAAGCTTGCTGTTTGACGCCAAAGAATGTCTTTGTAACTCAACTTCCTGTTTGCCGGCAAATTCGTGTGAGACAACTCTCTGTTTGACCCCATGTTCATGTGGAAAAACGCCTGTGCAGAGCATGATTCGTGAGGCTATGTGAGCCAGCGTTTGGCGAGTTTAGAAGGACCCTCGAAACCTGTTTCACGAACCCCGCCATGTTTAGGGCTTAGGTTCCGAGAGTCATTGAAGGTCCTGGCCTCGGACAAAATCGTTCTGTGGGCTGCGTACGGCCAGGCATGAGGACAGGTTTAGCCCGATCTCTACAAGGCGCCGCTTCACATTTGCGGAGCCGTTGTGTCCTCTGTTCTTCGAGCTGGCCATTTGATTGTAGCAACGTGCTGATGCTGGGCACGTGCAAGCGCACACAGCAGCCTCCAGGCATTATTCGACCTGCATTCGGATTTAATCACGTTGGCACCATAGCGGTGTCTACATGCTACAAGCAAACCTGGTCGGTCTTGTAGCACCGCAAGAATCCCAGCATCAGTGCAGAAACCACAGCATGCCTCAAGCTTTGCACTGTCTATGCAGGTGGTCCAGTAGCTACTCGCGGATCATGAAGCGGAACCGTGTCCCGTACATCGACTTCGAGACAGGCTGCCCGGCCGATGTCGACTGCTGTTTCATCTCTCGTTCATGACGGGTTTACATGGTGCATCGGATGCGCCCATGGACCTTAAGGACGACATGAACCCTAAAAGGGCTCAGGGTTCATAAGCCATATAAGGATTCATAGTCTGAGGGTACAGTGGTCATTTCGTCCTTAAGGGACAGCCCTCCTGTTTGCGCAGGCTTCCCAAAGGGGGAGACACCGAAGCAAACCGTCGGGACTGCCTTCACTCTAGTGCGAGACCCAGCGCGTGAGCCGCCAAGCAGAGAGTTTAGAGGAGCCTGTACTTCATAAGCATTCCTAGCCGTGGCCTGTGGCTGAATGGCTACTGCAGCACTGGAAAGCTTAACATGCCTAGCTAAACCGTATAGACATCCCTAGACCCTAATTAGTTACCCTATAGTTACTTGAACTGGAGACTGTTTGGTGCACTGAGGCGAAGCAGCAAAAGCTTGAGCGATTGCTGGAGGCCTGGAAAGTTGCTATCTGAGCCACCTGGTTTTGTTCAGCAAGCCTGCTGCACCGGCTCCTGTCATAGTCGCATTTTCCGCTATTTTCCCTTAAGCTTTCCGCCCGTATCCTATCTCGTACCTGAATCGGTGGTGTGGCAGGCCACGCCTCAAACGACCTTTCGGGGCAGAGCGGGCGCCCTACAGCCCACGGTTTAGGGTTTAGGGTTTAGGGTTTAGCAACATTGAGGCTTCTGTCCGGTTCGGGATTGGAGGCCTATTACTATACTGTAGGGCTTTGGATTTCGGTTTCGGGTTGCAGCGCCAAGGCGCACGCACTACATGTCCATTGGGTTTCAGATTTCGGGTAGCTGCCGGGGAAATGCTCAAGCATCTACATTTCCACACGCACACACATGAAGATGCTTCTGCGTGTGAGCATGGGATTTTCCAAAATTGGGGTACCTTATTTTAGGGTCCTTATAATAAGGATCCTATTATTTGGGGTGCTATATTAGGGTCCCCTATTCTCCGAAACCCCCATCTCTCTTCGGCTCTTACGCGCCCAGGTCATCAAGCAACTCTCGACCCGAAGAATCCGGCACTCTGGCCGTGGCGATGTTGGAAGGATCCGACAGAAGCCCTGTAAACCCTAACCTTCCAGGTACCTACTAGAGAGGGTACTAAAGCCCCTAAGGCCCTGTATAATAATTACCCGGAGGGTTAGGGAAAGATATCCTTAGTGTAATTACTGTTGCCAGACTTGCGGTTTGCAGCCAGTGTAGCTGCGCGAGGCTTAGGATATTTACACAGTCCTTGTAAGTGTACGAGCCGGGAAAGTTCTATGCACTGCTTTGTGTTGTGAGCTCGTGACATGCCTATGTGTTGTGCCTTCGTTATGTCATCTGACAGGGGGTTTCGGAATTTTGGAATGGTGGATGTGAGACGAAGTCTAGAAGGCCAGACAGGCCAAGGGGCGTGGAGCAATTCTACACTGTAATCGTGACAGCCGTTGACCAGTTGTAACCAAGGCATGTTGTCTATAAATTCGTTGGATGTGGCGCACTGGCGCGGGGTTTGGGTTCTAGTGTCGCTGCAGCCTTCCAGGAGATTATCTTGTGGCCCTTGGTTCTGTGCACAATCACGACTCTATGGAACTTAGTGATTGAGGTGACACCACAGCATGACCCGCGGCACCCCGGACTCTCCAGCATTGGCCAGCAGGATAACGACGCGTCATCGCGAAGGTGGCACGATGCAGCGGCTTCGATTCGTCGACTTCAAGCGTGCTCGGAAGGCCAGATCAGGCATGTGCAACAGTATCGTCGGTTGTGCATGGCTCAGAAGGGTCAGCAAGCTTGATCACGGCCTGCCCTTGCAGACCCCATCAGGGTTACATGAGCGAGGCTCTGCAATCTGATTTTGTTCTTGTTTTCTCGACGTCATGGCCGGAGGACATTCCAGCTGCCGTTCTGCGTATCGAGTATTCTCCAGAGCGCACGTCGCACGTGGCCCTCATTCAGTACCAGGATGTGGAATTGCATGCTTTGTTCGGTCAATTTCATTCCATGTGCTTATCGGGGTGTGCATGGGTTTGCTTATCCGCTGTTGCTCATCCAAGGGCCTTCATCTAGAAGAGCTTCGCAGTCCAATCTGAGATTCCCGTCAGGACGGCGTCTTGAGCTACATCTTGGCGCCGCTTACCCTGCGCCCAGGAGACCAGGCAAGTCTGGTGGAGGAAAGCAGATACCATTAGCCTTCGCTTTTTCTTCTGCTTACTGTACACCGGTTCGAAATCTGTCCCAACTCCGGCTGAATTTCAGCACTTCTTGCTTTGTAATTAGATATATTCGACCCCGAGAGTACGTCCACTGACTCCATAGTTGCATCGCGTCAACATAATGTGAGCCCGTGATTAGTCATGGTCCCCTCAATTGACAGCCAAACTCGGCCTGCACAGAATGGTGGAAAGGTCCCCTCAATTGAGCTAAACTCGGCCTGCACACAACACTAACCTACCCCTCAATCGTCCGAAATTCCCGTCCCCCTTTGCAAGCTTTCGGGAAATAGACACTGCTACTACAACCTGGCGCCCTGGAAGAGGAGAGACAGAGACAGGCAAGATAGAGGCGACACAGAGAGGCGAGATAATGAGCCAGCCAGGCTTCAGGCTTCTCTATAGAAACTTAGAGCCTCCAGCCTTCAGGGCTTCAGCCAAGCTGCAAAGCCTGGTGTTGTATGGCTGCGGTTTCTAATATAAACCCCTTGTAAAAGAAGCAATTCCGTCAAGATTTCTAAGAGGTACCATACGATTACTTCGAAACCCACCAGAATGCGGATGAAGTCTGCCCCTCAATAGTGCAGTGGCCTGCGGGGAACCTCCAGAACACCAAAGCAGAATCCCTTTCTGGATTCAAAGCCGTAAGGCTTCTCGCCCAGAAGAGGCCCGGAAGAAGCCTTGTATAACTACTGTACTCTATTTTACAGCTACTATACTGCTACTGTACTACAACTGTACGACTATTGTACTACAGTACTACTACTGTACTACTATTGTACTACTACTAGTCTACTACTGTACTACTGTGCTGCTGTACTGCTGTACGATCATTACTGTACTACTACTTTATATTACTACCGTACTACTGCTGTACTACTACTGTGCTACTACTGTGCTGCTAATGTACTGCTGCTGTGCTAGCGTATCATTACTGTACCATCGACCACCAAACAACTTAGACGATCGGGAGGGGCGGGGGGTTTATTAATCAGCAGACCACATTACACCAACGCACTACGCTTGTTTCGAGCCACAGCAGGTCGTCGCCAGCGAAAGCGCCAATATCGTCCCAGGGAACTGCCTTCCACTGAGGCCGCATGATTGCATGCACCTCAGGCGCAGCTTAACACCTTCTAGGGCCTAGGGTTTCGCGCTAAACAGAGATGATAGTGGTATGACTCAGGCTTATCGCCATAATATGGATCAGGCCATGCCAGCTGCAAGAGGGATGTTGTCCACATTCGGATCGGTTCTGCAGCGAAGTCATGAATCGTTTTTGAAGCCTTTGACGTCAGGAGTATTCCTGCGGGCTCGATCGTCCACAACATCGAGCTGCGCCCAGGACAGCTTTGTGTTTGGTGTACTAAAGTCACTATCGGTGTTGATAGTATCATTATGAGTATTACTGTTATTGCTATTCCTTTTATTCTTAATACTATTATAATAACTGGTGCATATTCTTGTTATGCTACGAGGCAGTAAGCCGGGTCAGCCAAACGATAAACCCATCCGTTTGTTCGACAAGTTCCCGTTTACTTGCAGTTGCTATTTGGACCCGGCTCGATTTAGGGTTTAGGGCCTAGGATTTTATACCCTAAGGGCCGTAGGGTCTAGGGTTTAGGGTTTTATAGGATTTAGGGTTCATGTTCTGAACGTTCCATGTCTGCGTCGTTCGACCGACTTGAAAACCCTGTAAGCTAGAATCCTCAGCTCGAGACGTTGATTTTAAGATGCTTTCAAGTTATATAGGGGCCTTCATAATTACCTATACTCTTTTGGGGGTTCCTTAATATAGTTATAAAGGCATAAGGGGCCCCAAAACCCTATTCTAAGTATTAGGGCCCCTATAGTTCTATGGCTTTGCCGTTCAGAGCGCTGAGCCCTGGACCGAAAATCTCACAAGCAGGAGCAGGTGGGCAGTGCGAGTCCCAGCACGGTTTAGGGTTTAGGGTTTAGGGTTTAGGGCTGATATCGGGGCTTGCCCTCTATGTTTATGGCTGCAGACGTTTTGAGATGACGCCGCTTGGTACTTCTTATTCGAAGGGAAGATGAGGTCGTGACGATGCTAGTTAATGTTGTCCGGTATGGTCTGATGGTGATGGTGATGAGTCATGATGGTGATCGATTACGGTGGCGATGGTGATGTCGTCTTAGCTGCAGCGACGGTACGGCAGGAACGATGCAAGTTTCAGTCGGCGATATAGCCTGAATCTACAGGATGTAGCTATCCGTCGCGAGTTCCATTGTAGGCGGTGACTTGAATTCCTTTACATCCCGAGCTCTCGACACATGGAGCGGTACGTATGTCGACCGTCCAGCCTGTCTCGCAGCACTCCTTCTGCGACAGGGACTAGTCAAAGCTTGCAGTTGTGGGCCACATGTATCGAGCGCGAGCCATGTGAACATGTGCCATTACATGTCAGTGCGAGCTGAAGTATGCCCCTGGCCTCTGCCCCCTGCTGACCCCTGCCCTTGCTGCTCATAGTTTGCAACCCTGGGACCAACCAACCGTCTCACGGTCTCCTGTGAATCTTGGGTGCTAGGTTGGTCGGCGTTCAGCAGCATGGTAAGTGCACATGTCCTTGATCTGCTGCCCGACCTCAGATGCCCACTTCTGCTGCAGGGGAAACTTAAAAACTTCAAAAGTCATTCGGGTAGAGGGCTTCTCACATGCTTGCGTACCTTTGTTTCAAAGCCATCTTGACTGAATGCTGGTTTTGCCGCCGTCGCGAACTCCACAGACTCAGACCCAGCCAACGGAAGACGCCTCGGCAAACGATTGTCGGAGATATTGAACTGCACACATGAAGCCACGCTTCCTCGAGGCTCATTCGAGCTGCTGGCACCTTTGCCACCATCATCACGAAGGCTTTTTTTCTTGCGGATAGAGTGCACAAGTGTTTGAGAGTGTCTGGCTTGCATTTGTTGCAAGGCTTTGTCATGACTCTCACAGCGCAAACTTCGATATCTGTGTACCAAGCCCTGCTCCTCCAGAGTGAATCGATCCGAAAGGTTGAAGACCCGTGACCATGCAAAAGTGAGTGGCATATGCGAGTGTTCTTGGGCAATCACGACATCTGGGCTTCCGAATAGATCAGAGCTTGTGGTCATTGAAGCATTCCTCCTCGAACTGCTTCGGTAGGCCGCAGGTGCAAAGATTGCTGTGGAGCTGAAATTTGTCAGCCCTGGGACAGGACAGGCACTTCGCCACCATCAAGCTCCGGTCCACCGAGATCAGGAAGTTCCCACTGGAGTGCTGGATCCACTGGCTCGGATTAGGGTTTAGGGCCCTAGGGTTTCGGGGTGTTAGGGTTTAGGGGTTTATGGTGGACAGAGCTAAGGGTTTAGGGGGTAGGGGATGGGTTTCGGGTTTAGGGGGCTTGAGATCTGGATTGCCTTCATTGACCTTGTCACAGCAGAAAGAAGACTCACACGTGATTCCAACCACTTCAAACCCCCCTGCGACGGCTACCACTACTGCTGGGACAACTACTTGCACTATTGTTAGTACTTGTGCGGCCAATGCCACCAGCACCGCCGCAGCAACGATAATGATTGCTGATAGTAGCACTGCTGCGACCAGCACAATCGAAGCCAGCCTCATCCACTCCTTGCGACGATTGCACCATTATACCGGAAATCATCCCTATTCCAGCGGGTGGCAACACCTGCAGCAGCCGCAGCACGAGCACTGGTGGCAGCAGCAATAGGAGGAGGGCCACAACACCAATTTCAGAATCAACACAAAAAAGCAAGAACGTCAGGGAACTGCAACAAGGAGCAGCCACAGCCACGCCACCCTCCACAATGACTATCGACTACCGCAGCAACTACCACCAACAACAACAAAACAACACCTCGACGATGGCAACAGGTGCAGCTGCAGCTTGTGCGGCTGCTGCTGCTCCTCCTCCTCCTCCTGCTACTACTATTACTACTACTACTACTACTACTACTACTACTCCGACGACTACTACTGCTACTCCTCCTACTCCTACTACTCCTGCTGCTGCTACTACTACTGCTGCTACTCTTACTACTCCCACTCCTGCCCTCCTACTCCAACTCCAACTCCTACTCCTACTCCTACTCCTACTCCGACTCCGACTCCTACTCCTACTGCTACTCCTACTCCTACTCCTACTCCTACTCCTACTCCTACTCCTACTCCTACTCCTACTACTCCTATTCCTACTATCTCCTACTACTCGTACTCTTCCTATTACTACTGCTAGTACTCCTGCTACTACTTCTACTACTTCTACTACTACCACTACTACCACTACTACCACTACTACCACTACTACCACTACTACCACTCCTACTACTCCTCCTACTACAACTACTACTACTACTACTACTACTACTACTACTACGACTAC